GTTAAATATTAAAAGAATAGAAATTATGTGTGAAATTGAAATCATAGGTAAAAACATAGAGGAGGTAATTAAAGCATAACTCTGTCAGTCGATCTAAGAGCACTTAGGAAAGGATGGAAACAGAATTTTTAAAAAAGAAAAAATAATATTTTATAAATAAGTCTAAATATATCAGTAATCATAATAAATGAACATAAATAAAGCTTACCTTACCTGGAAAAAGACTGAGTCATACTGACTGGATAAAAAAACAGAATCCTGCTCTATGCTATTATGAGAAACCTACCCAAGGTAATGTCACACAAAAAGTAAATAATGATTACATATTGATAAAAATCCATCAAGGAGATATATTAATCATAAACTAATATGTAGTTAAGAATGTGTTTCAAATTGCATATAGCAAAATCTGACAGTATTAAAAGAAGGATTTAAAACTCCAAATTCATAGAGAATTATTTTAACTGACCTTTCTTGGAAAGGACCTTTGAGAAAACTTTAATACTTAGAGAGATAACCGTGTTCATGGATGGGAAGACAAAAGAGATATCAAGTTTATATAATATTTTGGGGGAGTTATTTATATACCAGAAAAGGAGTGGAAAATTATCAAACTCCTTGGAGAAATGATAAATCCTGGTTGGTGCAGGAAATGCAACAAAAATGAACCTGAGACATTTGTTGTGCCAAAAAGTGGGTTCTCAAACAATAAAAAGGATCAAGTCAGAAACCCAGGAGTCAACCTTAAGGGAAGAGATTTGGATACCTAAAAGAAAAATTGCTGCAATGTGATTGAAACCCCTCAAATATATAAAAATCAATGAATTTATAAAAATGCTGAAAAGCAAAACAATATAGATCTTATTGGTCATAGTTGGTGGTTGCATTGCCACATTTCATAACTCTGAAAATTGATTTTTAAAAAGGTTGGGGAATAACCAAGCATTTATCCTACCTTTTTTGTTTGGACTACATTTCAGTATAACCAGAAAATTTGTGATGGCAAGTTCTTCATTATAGAAGAATTATAGCCTATATATGAAGAAGCAGTGATAGAATTAGAAAACCAATTTGCAATGCTTAATGAAGTAACAGAGGTGTGGTGACTCACACCTCAGGAGGCCAAGGTGGGAGGATTGCTTGAGGCCAGGATTTTGAGACCAGCCTGTAGTATACCTAAAGTAAAATACTATTTACTATTTTCCAAATAAACTATATGAAAATGCATGTCTAAACAATGAAACATTATTAACAATTAAGAACTTAAGAATGAGAAGATTCAGAGCTGTATATTTAAATATCTAGTGGCTTATTTTTAAATGCTTATAAAACAAATTTAATATTCATTTTAATAAAGATATTATGTCTATTTTGAATATATAAATAAGAAAGAAATTTGGGATGCTCAGATGCCTAGACTAAAGGATTGAAAGTGGTGAAAGAAAGTTAGTATCTATCTGGAAAACAATTGAAATCAATGATTTCTCATTTTGTAAAAAGTACAGTAAAAAAAAAAAACCTCAGCCTGTGGCTATTGGCTTTGATTGTTATTTTTTAAAAAGATTTAAGAATTTCTTTGAAAAACATACTAGCAATTAAGAGTCTAATTTCTTTTACTAAAAATAAGTTCATAAATTTTTTAAATACTGAAGTAATATAAGTAAAAATTTTTCAATTTTTTAGTATTATACTTTGGTGGTATATTTTGAACCCTTGAATATTTCAGTACATCTTCCCTGCATTGGGGCATTCTACATTAACACACTATGCTGGTGTATGGAAATCTCAATTTACAACCCTTAGCCAAGTGTTTTTAACTTCTCTCACTTTCACTTAGTAGGTAGGCCTGGATTTAAAAACCTTTACCATGTAACTATGTGACCTTGTGCAAGTTACTTAGTCTTACTGAATGTTAGTTTCCTCATTCCTTTAGTGTAGATAATAATACCTTGTAGGATTGTTGTGAGAGTAAATGAGACAACATAGCCAGCCCTCTTCACATGGTAAATATTCAGTGATATTTAGCTGTTGCCACTAACATTTTAGTTTCCTTCTATCTTACCATAAACCCATTAAAATATCTGTTCCCCTTATTCTTAGTTTTTACTCAGTATTTTAAATTGAGATTTAGAACTGAGAATGTTATCAAAGAAATAAAATGATGTCACATAACTAATTTATGATCTGTTTTTTCCACTAAAAGAAATATTTTTAGGCAGTTTGAATACGTGTATTTATCTCTTCTTCTTTCTAAGCTGCATGACAGTAGTAAAAAATTTAAAAAATTATTAACTTGCAAATGATTAAGTGAAGAGCTATCAGCAAATGAGAAATTTCAATAAAAATCTGGAAGACAATAGGAGGAATAATGTTAAGAGCCACTTAGGGCTAAAGATATTACATCCTGGAATACTCACTCAGGGGAATACAGGCAAGAAAGGAACTGATGAGCCCTATGAACTTCAGAGACGCTAAGGTTACATCCATACCATCTGAAGTAGAGGGCCAGGCTGAGATGCAGGTAAACACTTAGCCCCCCAAACAGGAAATTAGATATTTATTTTTCTGAACTAGCTGAACACTCTGTGAGAAGTCTAGCATTTGAGTCACCTTTGTAGCTTGTATAAGAATAAGCAGACATTTAAGTAAAATCTTCAACTTTAAAGAGAGAAACCAAAATATGTGTGTGTGTGTGTGTGTGTGTGTGTGTGTGTAACTCAGAGGAAGCATAATGCAGATAACATAAGAAAACTTAATACAAACTCTAGGCCGGGTGCAGTGGCTCATGCCTGTAATTCTGGCACTCTGGGAGGCCAAAGTGGGAGGGAGGATCACTTGAGGTCAGGAGTTCTAGACCAGCCTAAGCAGAGGGAGACTCCATCTCTATTAAAAATAGAAAAAATTAGCCAGGCATGGTGGTGCGTACCTGTGCTCCCAGCTAATTGGGAGGCTGGGGCAGAAAGATTGCTTGAGCCCGGGAGTTTGAGGTTGCAGTGAGCTATGATCACACCACTGCACTCTAGCCAGGGCCACAGAGCAAGACTCTTTCTCAAAAAAAAAAAAAGTAAACTCTAATTAGTATTCCTAAGTATTAAAGAAGACATTGTGTCAATGGGACTCTTATTAATATCCTCAGAAAGATGTTAAAAGCATGTATAAAACTAGAAGAGGATGTCAAGAAAAAGAACCATGAGAGATTGAAAATAAATCTCCTAGAAATTAAAACATGATGGCCAAAATAAAAAATTCAATGGAGGAGTTGGAAGATAAGCTTAGAAACTCTCCCAGATGGTAAAACAAAAAGACAATGAGACAAGTAATATAAGAGAAAATGGACAAAACATAAGATCATCCACAAGAACTGATGTATAACTAATAGGTGACTCAGTGTAAGTATAGTGTCCTAGAAGAGAGAAATCAGAGGGGAGAGGAAGTTTACAAAGAAACAAGAAATATTGGTAGAGCTAATGAGCAGAGGTCTCCAGATTATTGGTTCTGCTGGGCTCACTGAATGCCTGGCAGAACCAATGCAAAAAGTCCCAAACCAAGAGATCAGGAGATAAAAGATCCTAAAATCTTTCCAGAGAGGGAACAAAAGATTACCTACAAAGAAATTGGAATTAAAAAAAAAAAATCCATCTTAGCAACAACACTGAATGCTTACAAACAATGAAGCAATTCTGAGAAAAATTCTTTCATTCTAGAATTCTGTGCATAGCTAATGTGAGGGGATAATGAAGACTTCAGGTATATAGTGACTTAAATGATTTCTGGGAATTTTTTCTTAGTAACCATGCTAGGAGATCTTTTTTAAACTAAATGATATGTGTTGAAGAGAACCTTGCCTGTTTCTCACCTTTGCTTTTTTCATTGGCCTTGGGCTCGATTCATATTCATAGGTTTGATTGAACTCATTTGGGTGTGCTCCTCCAAAATAAGGGAGTAAATCACAAAAGAGGAATAATTATATGATCTTGAAAATGGAGCACCAAAAAGTAGCCAGCCCAGATCCAGACTGGAGCAGGAAGATGACATTTCCAAAATAAAAAGTGGCGGCGGGTAGGGTGGGTGGTAAGACATTTGATAAAATAGATTTTATAGAGCCTTTTAAAATAATTAAGAATATGAGGATAGCGAATTTATTAAATAGAAATAAGTAATCCTCCAAACTGTACATAGTCATAATCAAGATTATATAATAAATTTTTAAAATTGTTATATATATATATTTTTTTTTTTCTGTACAAGCAGGGTCTCACTATATTGCTCAGACTGATCTCATACTCCTAGCTTAAAGAGATCCTCCTGCCTCAGCTTCCTGAAGTGCTAGGATTACAGGCACAAATCACTGCCTGGCCAGAACTTTTTATTGATTTGACTAAAAATTAGTGATAACACCATATGAGAATAGTTAGTAGAGGTGTAGGGTATGGGGTCTAATGCTTCGTCTTACAGCAAAAAGTAAGTAGATACTGTCTAAAATAATAGTCATAAAGCAATAATATCAAATTGAGCAAAATTGAGCAATATCGTTTAAAGTGGCAAATGGTTCTGGTCTAAAGTATGCAGACCTGAGTCCCAGCTATGCTGCTTTCTAGCTCTGTGGTCTCGGCAATTTACTTAATCTCTTTCAACCATTGTTTACTAATTTGTAAAACAGGGATGATACAACATAGGATTGCTGTGAGGATTAACTGAAATACAGGCGAAGTACTTAGCTCAGTGGTTAGCAGACAAGTGCTATTGTGTTTCTTATGATAGGGATGGTGTTGCTGATACATTATCTAGCTATTTGACTACTATTGTTATGCCTCCCTTTACCTTTCTTGTTTTTTTTTTTTTCCTTATTGAAGTTCATTCTTTCTCTATTCAGTTTGCCCCTTATTAACATAAGGGGCAAAAAGTCTTTTTTTTCCTCTTCTTTTTTTGCTAAATGTCTTTTTCTTTGTCCTTCTTCTCACTTAGATTTCTTCTTCCTGGAAAGCCTGATCTTTGACCAGATGGCAATAACATTTGAAGACGTGACTATTATTTTTACTTGGGAGGAGTGGAAATTCCTGGATTCTTCTCAGAAAAGGCTCTACAGGGAAGTCATGTGGGAAAACTATACAAATGTCATGTCAGTAGGTAAAGTTATCCCATCTTACAGAGAATAGACTTAGTTTCTTCTAGAACCAGTTTTGCTGAGTATTTTGGTTTTTTATCTAGGTGTTGTATTGAAATGGTGGAAGAATCTGGATGTTATATTGAGTAGAGGAAGAAACAGTCTCAAAAATGCATCTTAAATCAGGTTACAAATAGAATATAAAGCAAAACATCTTCCAGGACACTGAGGCTATATAATTAATAGATATTTATGATTATTATTTTTAGTTATTTTCGGGATTACCCTTAAGCACCTATCTCCATACATAGTGGACTTTGTGTGGTACTACATTTGTTTTCTCTTCATACTATTTGTACAAGTTAGCTTTCGTTGTATAGTGATTATGCCAAACTTAGTGGCTTAAAACAAATTATTATTTTTCGTTATTTTTTTTTTATTTCATATTTTTCATTATTCTTATTGGCTGGCTGGATGGATCTTCTATCATGGAGAGATTTGATTGGGGCTGGATAGATGAGGCTGTCTGGCCTGACTCACATGTCTGGCAGTTGCCTTAGTACCTGTGGGGATGATGGGGATGTGTTGGCCATATGCCCCTTTTCAAATAAGCTAACCCAGGCTCATTTACATGGTAGTGATCCCAGGAGTTTCAAAAGCACTGATAGAGAGTGCAAGCACTTTTCAAGTCTCTGCTTGTGTCACTTTTGGTATTGTCCCAGTGACCAAATAAATTGTACAACCAAGCCTAGGGACAGAATAGAAAGAGAACACCAAAGGTGTAGATAAAGAAAGTAGCAAGTTGATACAGCCGTTTTTGCTAAGCAATCTACCACACTATTCTAGAACAGAAAAATAAGAACAATATATTTTATTTTTTATAATATCCAAAATGAAGTAATCTAATTAAATATCAGTCTTTAATATTATTTCCATGAAGCAGTTGACCTTACTCTTATTTCTAACAGTACCTGGTAAATAGTAGATGCTCAAGATATGCTTGAATGAATAAATAAGCAAATGAATGAGTACATATGTGAATGTACAAAACAAATGAATTTCAGACTCAGATGGAGCAGCCGAAGTCCTAACCCTTCTTTCCTATCCCCATCCACACATATATTCCTGTCATTCCAGAGGTCATTGAATAGACACTTGAAAATTTTTAAATACAACCTTTATCTCACCACTGGATTATCTGGTTATTCTTCTAGGAAACTGGAATGAGAGCCACAAATCCCAAGAAGAAATATTCAGACATTTACAATATGAAAATTTTTCCTGCTGGCAAGGCTGGAGGAATGCCGACACTCAGATATATGAGAATCAGAACTATGAGGAAACTGTTCAAAGGGTAGATTCCAAAGACCTAAAGCAGCAAGACCTTTCCCAGTGTCAAGAATGGTTCATACTCTCCACACAAATACCAGGGTATGGGAACTATGAACTGACTTTTGAAGGCAAAAGTCCCAGAAATTTAAAATATAAAAAGTTTATACCTTGGCAGTCCTTAGAAACAAAAAACACTCAAGACTATGGTAGAGAAATCTATGTGAGTGATTCCCATGGTTTTCAAGGGGGCAGACATCATCTTGGCATATCCAGGAAAAATCTCTCCATTGAAAAGGAACAGAAGCTCTTGGTTCAGCATTCTTGTGTCCCAGTGAAGGAAGCCCTTCCAGCGTACATTGGGGAGACATGCCAGAATGACCTACTGAAAGACTCAATGGAAGACAAATACTGCGGATGTAATAAATGTAGAGAAATTTATTATTGGAACTCACAGTGTATTCACAAGAGAAAACAGCTTGGAGAAAACCACTGTCAGTGCTCCATCAGCACAGCATTCTTCTCTCAGAGATCAGACTTATATAGACATCCAAGAATCTACATCGGTAAGAAGCTGTATGGATGTGATGAAGTTGACAGTAACTTCTGTCAGAGCTCAGGAGTTCACTTTCATCAAAGAGCCCACACGGGGGAGGTACCTTGTATCTGTAATGCATGTGGTAAAAGCTTCAGTCAGATCTCCAGTCTTGATAATCATCAAAGAGTCCACACAGGAGAGAAACTCTATAAATTTGAATGTGATAAGGACCTAAGTAGAAATTCATTACTTCACATTCACCAGAGACTTCACATAGGAGAGAAGCCTTTTAAGTGTGATCAGTGTGGTAAGAGTTTTAGTCGGAGTTCAGTCCTTCATGTTCATCAAAGAGTCCACACAGGAGAGAAACCATACAAGTGTGATGAGTGTGGTAAGGGCTTCAGTCAGAGCTCAAATCTTCGAATCCATCAGTTAGTACACACGGGAGAGAAATCCTATAAATGTGATGACTGCGGCAAGGGCTTTACCCAGCGTTCAAATCTTCAAATTCATCAGAGAGTGCATACAGGAGAGAAGCCTTATAAATGTGATGACTGTGGAAAGGACTTTAGTCACAGCTCAGATCTTCGCATTCATCAGAGGGTCCACACGGGGGAGAAACCCTATACTTGTCACGAATGTGGGAAGGGCTTCAGCAAGAGTTCAAAGCTTCACACTCATCAAAGAGTACATACTGGGGAGAAACCCTATAAATGTGAAGAGTGTGGCAAGGGATTCAGTCAGCGTTCACATCTTCTCATTCATCAGAGAGTCCATACGGGAGAAAAACCCTATAAATGTGATGATTGTGGAAAGGGCTTTAGTCACAGCTCTAATCTTCACATTCATCAGAGGGTCCACACAGGAGAGAAGCCTTACCAGTGTGCTAAGTGTGGTAAAGGTTTCAGTCACAGCTCAGCTCTTCGAATTCATCAAAGGGTCCATACAGGAGAGAAACCTTATAAATGCCATGAGTATTATAAGGGATTTGATCAGAATTCACATCTTCACAATAATCATAGAAGAGAAAGCTTATAAATCTTGTTCATTAACAGGTGTAATCAAAGCTTAACCTTTAAACTCAATAAATGCTGCTGGTAAGGAAATCCTGTGAATAAGACAAGTAATCCCACACAACGTTTATAGTTTGCTCTAACTCCTACTAAGAATTATTTGCTTCAAGAGGAGATCCTTAGGAGGATTTCTATATATTTAAAATTAAAGTGTATTTTCTTTACCCACTTTAGTCATTATAAAATATATTAAAAATTTAAGGAGAAAACTCTTCCTCCTGTTTCATTCTAGTCTTTTTTTCTGTGCATTTTGATGTGCATGAAATTATCCTGTGTGTGTATTCAACTTTTTATTTTCACTGACTTCAAAACATTTACTCAAATTTTGATTTGAATTGAAACTGGCTAGCCATCTTTGACACAACATCTCTTGACTCCCCTGTAAAGTCTCTAGGAAGTCACAGAAAAAATAGAAACACACAAAAGTTAAACTGGTAGATAGATAACCTATTTGCTCAAATATGGAAGTACTAACTATAAAGCCAGTAGAAGTCAATTGTTTATGAAACAGATGTCGCTTAATAAAAGATAGGAAAACATTGTATGAGCTTGTATCTGAGTATATCTTAGAGATGTTATCTCTGTCAAACAGAAAACTCAGGGACCATCCTTCTGTTGTATGGGTGCTGCACTTTCAGGTGACCGCAATGCACTCTCATCCCTTCCCTTCCCCAGTTTTCCACATTTATTCATAGTTTCAGACACAAAGTAGCAAAAAGTACAAAATTTAGTTACTCTAAGATATGAAAGGTGTGGACAAAAGTTGATAGTAGTGAATGCTAGAAACAAGATACTCCCATCAGGGATTCAAGCAGTAGAATTTTATTTAATCTCAGTGGAACAGAGTAGTAATAAAGAAATATCTGCTAGGAACAGAATTGAAGTCAGAGCTGTGTGCAACAATGAACCCTCAAGCTAATTATGTAAGAAGAGAATTTAGCTATTATAAAAATATAGAAAAGTCAATAGAAATACCGAGTACCAACTATTGATATGCAAGTATGCTTAGGTAATGCTTGCCAAGAGGAATAAAAAGTGGACCTGTTTAGGGAAATATGAGGGAATTTCAATATCAACAAAAGGAATATCATCCTCAAGGCTTAAAAATCTATTGCCCTGAAAATTAGCTGCTTAAGGCTCCAGAGGAAATATTTTAAAAAGTTGGTATCCCCAGTGGCATAACAGAAAACCTGAACTCAAAAAATCAAGAATAGAAATCCATAGGTAGAGAAGAGCCTCTGAAATAGAAATAGATACAATGATAAAGGTCTTCAGTGAAATTAAAAATGCTACATCAAAGTAAAAGGCAATAAAGGGTAAAATTAACATTGCAGAGTATCAAATGCTGTAATGAATAAACTTGAGACCATCTTAAATGTCTTAAGAAAAAGATACAGGTGGAAACAATGAGAAAAGACAGATGTAAAGAGCAGAGAATGGAAGTCCAACATAAGAATTAAAGGTGTTTCTAAGGAAGATAAAAAAAGAACATTTGGAATAGAATCAATGATCAAAGACATTAAGAAATTTTTCCTGAATTAAAAGCATATGCTCACTAGATTTCAGGCAAAACCAATATAAAAACAATCTTAGAAACAACCTAGGAAAAAAGGAGCAATTGAAAGCATGCACAAAAAAATTCTAGTTATCTACAAAACCAAAAGGGAGGATGGATACAGAGCTCTACAACAGTAACTCAGAAGACAATGCAATAGCACCTTAGAATTCTGAGATTAAAAAAAAGTCTGTTATCACTTAACAGTTTAATCAAAAAAATTGTCTTTTATATTTGCAGGAAACAAGTATTTTAGATGATAAGCAAGAAAACAGCATATCTTTCATGTTCCTTTCTTAAACAGTTCAAGAATGTCAAAGTCATGTTATAAAAGGACTGGTGATGAACACTAAAATCAGTTAAACATACAGTTAAGTCTGAATAGTTAATTTGTTTACAAAACTTCAAAAAATATAAATAGTTGTACAAGAAAATATACAAATGCTATGTATGTCGCTGCCCAACCAGGTTAATATGTGAGCTGCCCAAGAGGAAGACAATATGCTGAGTCAGCAGGGTTTACAAGGCAGAGAAACTGTCTTTATTCCACATAGCACTAAGCAGAGGAGACCGGAGAAATTTCTCAAATCCGCCTTCCTGAGAATTTGGGAGACAGGGTTTTTGAGTGTAGTTTGGCAGGCAAGGGATTAGGCAATTAGGTTTGTTAACTGGGGCAAAATTATAGGGGTGTAGAAATCATGTTGTGTTGTTTCAGTCCCTGGGGTCACAATTCCAGTTGAGTAGGTTTCTTGGTATGGGCCGCTGGTCCATTGGGTAGGTCAACTAATCCACTGGAATGCGGGGCCTGGAAGATATCTTTAAAACCACCTTTAGGTTTCAAAAAGGTGATGTTATCTACGGAGAAAGTTAAGAATCTTTATGGACAGCAGCTATGAGGAGAAAGTTAAGAATCTTTATGACCACCAGCTGTGTGGCTCCGGAGAAGCAAACAGGAAGAGTTACTAATTATTATCATTATTTTTAACTAGACCTGTGCATTATTTTTAGCTAGGCCCTTACCACAGTTCTCGCCTTGTGCCCTGTTATTGATTTGTGAAAAAGGCAGTTTCAAGTATAAAAGCAGATTATATATGATAAGAGTGTGGGTGGGAAAGTAGGGTTGCCAGGATATCCACTTAAGTTTGAATTTCATATAAGCAAAGAATTTTTAGTGTACGTCCCAAATGTTGCATGGGACTTACACTAATAATTTATTTGAAATTCAAATTTAACTGAATATTTTGTGTTTTTATTTGCTAAATCTGGCAGTCCTATGTAGGAGGGATAGCAAAAGAAAGTGCTACATTTCTGATCTTAAATAGCAGGGACCCATAATAACATTTTTTTCTTAACAATTTAAGATAGGTCCAACATTTTTTTCAAACTTAGAAATTGCAACTAATAGAACTAAAAGAAGTTCATATACCTTTCAAAACAGGGGAGAAGACAAAAGCAAAAAATACTCAGTCTCTATAGCAAAGACAATACAAAACTCAAGAAGTTGGCCTAAAAAATTAGGATGAATCAAGATGAGAGAAAGCCAAATTTATCAAAACATGTTAAATACCTTATTGAAAATTTCGAAAACACAGATTGGGATAAAATTTTAATTACATCTTATTACAAAAGAAAAGATTAAAATGATATTAAATATGAAACTAGGCAAGGGTTTTATTAAATACAAAGGAGAATCTACAATATATTTTTTAAAGTTAAAAAATTTGAACTAATGAAAGGTGTGTAAAAATACAAAATCAATAGTTTCCTAAACTGTCATAATAGAAAATGGAATGGGTGCAAAATATCTGTTTTTTAATAACATTAACATTTTTTTAAAAGGAACATAAAAGTACAGAATAAAAATAATGGAAAAAAATTGAGGATCATAAAAGAGGACTTGAATAGAGAAGTTTTACAATTTGCCTAGAGGGGATATTCCTAAATTAATTTATAGATTTATTTCAAATCTCTTGAAAATCCCAATGAAATTTGAAATAAAATTCTAGAAAACTAAATGTCAAAGCAAAGATAATTATAAGAAAGCTTAATGAGATAGCACTAACATATAATAAATGGTATATTGAAGTTATAATAATGGAGAACTTGGGTATTAAAAAAAATTCAGAATTGAGTCACTAAATAGCTTAGAAATATACCAGTGTATGGATTATATATGTGTACATAACATATAGTACATATGCTTATATACTTCACATGATAAAGATCTATAAACAGGAGAAGGATTATTCAGTAAATGGTGCTGGGATGATTAACTTTTTGGTGAAAAATAAAATTAGGTTTTCATCTCATGATCTATATCAGAATGAAATATACATTGATTAAAACACAAGTTTCAAGTTGTATTCCATGGACCTCCATATGGTTTCATGAAGACTGGTGCTTCAAAAAGAACCACAAATTTAGACCCATTTTTATCTGTTTCATACACAAGAATGACATAAGATTTCATTTTTTTTTAAAAAAAAGGAGAGTCCTCCCTTTAAATATAAAATGTTTAAAATTCTCTACAGTGGATTTTTATATAGTTAAAAACACACATACACACATGCATTTTTAAAAAGTTAGATGAAAGAACTCAGAAAAAATACCTAGGAGTTTGACCACATAAAAGTTTTAAAACTGTGGGTCAAAAATATGGAAGTCAGATGACAATAGGAAATATATTTGCCATGATTATGACGTATGAACTTTTATAAATTAAATGGATAAAATTGACAAAGGGCATAAACAGAAAAGCAATGAAATATCACTTTTAACAAAAATGATAATAGGTGTTTTCAGTGAACATATTGAGTGATGTATACTTACACACTACTTACGATGAGAGTAAATTGATACGGACTTTTTGGAAAAGCTATTTGGCAAATCATAAGCCTCAAAATTACTGATACTGTTCGATACAGTAAGTCTACATCTAGGAATATATCCTACAGAAATAGAGTTTCACAGTATTAGGGAACTTCTAATTACAAAGAATAGAGATCCACTCAAGCTATCTCATGTAAAAAATAGTGTTTTAGAACATTAGGTAGTAGAATGTCACAAAAGAAAATCCAAGGACAGAAACTTCATGGGAACTTCCTCTAGGAAGCCATCAGATAATGAAGCTACTCTTTCAAGAAATTATTATTTGTTTCTCTTTAGTATGCTTTTTTTTTTTTTTTTGAGACAGTCTCATTAGCTTTTTACTTCTGGATATCAGAAGTCTGAAATTAGTTTCACTTGGCTAACATCAAGGCTTCTGTACAGCTGGTTTTTTCTGAAAACTTTGAGGGGAGAAACTGCTTATTTTTATATTTTTTGTATATTTTAGAGACAGTGTTTTGCTATATTGGCCAGGCTGGTCTTGAATTCTTGGCCTCAAGCAATCCTCCCACCTTAGCCTCCCA